ACACACACACACACACACACACTAACTTTAATGTAATAGATATCTGCATCCATTGGATGTTGTGTTTGGAATCACCTGCTTCGTTTTAAGGTGGTAAAACAAATTCCTTGTATTTATTCCTTTCTACACACTTTACAGTTTATTTTTTCTGCACTCCACCTGTTTAATCTGTGCGYGCTCCGGCGGGGTGACAATCATTATAGTCGCGCTTTGGAGTGCGTGCACATTCGGTCGTGCGTCGTCGMACTATGACCGCAGGAGAAACGAGGTCCAGACTGATTTTTGTGCGTCCCACCTGAGCACTGACTTCACCTGCACTGACAGTCGCCTCGCTGCGTGGAAATRAATGGAGAGCGAGCGACGTCGCCTCCCGTGTGTCGAGCCCTTCACACATGCCGCGGCGCGCGCTCCTCCCGCAGTGGGCAGTGTGGTCGGTCGGCATCCGACCGGAGGACGCGCCGTCACGTAAATATGTAAACAGTTCGGTGTTCATTTTCACACACCCGAACCAGATCCGGATAAGTTATGTTGTTTTTTCCCTCTCTTCATTTGCGCTCTCAGCCTCGCTGCTTCCCGCTTCCTCTGTTTTGACTCCAGCCGGTTACATCATCAAAAAGAATTGTGCGGTTGGCCAGTAGACTACAGATCTCTATCATAGGACAAATTTATATCGTTTATTATTATACCGTATATCGTTTTTATCGTGCATTCCTAGCCTGTGACACACACATCCTTTAAATACAATCAAGTCAAAGAAATCTAACATAATACACAATTTTACCATTTTGTCCCATAACTGGCATATTTGCTCAGCCAAAGTGAAACAGGAAGTGACATCAAAGGGGAAATCTTTATGTAAAGGAACTCTCTGGTGTTAGTTGATTGAAATAATATTATTTAAACTCTGACTCTTCTTCATCTCTCTCTGATAGAGACTCAATATAATATAAAGAAACATTGTAGCAATGTTCTGTTTACATGCAGATTCCCCTTTGACATCACTTCCTGTTACTTCACATGTAAACATGTTAACAACTATTCATCTCAGCAGCGTGAAATTTTTTTTGGCAATGTTATTAATGTTATCTTTCCAAAAATGCATTAATATTTATGACAAAAATGGGATGTCATGAGCACTTTAAAGCCTAGGGTACGCGTCTTACTTGAGAGTTTTCTTTTCACAGTCGTCRCTGTCGAATGAGTAGCAGCTGGARTATGAATCTGCTCTCTGCAGCTCAACCCTGAAATCAGAAACACAAGAAGAACTTGAACATTTATTGTAACCATGCTTTTAGAGTGTAAATATTTAGCTAGAAAGGTTTTCCTCAGGACTTGTGTTCTYCGTACTTTGTGGAGGGTTCATCATCATCTAGCATTTCGTCCCGGTCCCCTTCACTGGACATTGACCTGTAACTCTGAGCTGGAGGCAAAGCTTGTTCCACAAAATGCCTGAGGAGAAAAAAAGATGGAAAGTCAGTTTGAACCTGTTCGTTTTGTAAATTTTAATATAAAAGTTATGTTTCAAGCTGTAGTGTAGTTGTACTGTACTGTAATTATTTGGAATTATGTAGATTGTCTTTAATTACGCCTAAACAAAAAAACTGACTAGTTTAACTTTCAGACTTTGTGGAATATTTGTGTATGGTTCATTACTTAAAAYCATTTTTCACACAGTTGGTACGATAAAGGCTAAAACATCAAAGATCTCTTCGTACCATTGGCTGGTGTCAATTGGGGTCGTTCCCAGGTCAAGAGACGGCCTTCTCTCAGGGATGTAAAAAAGATTCTCTTCCTCAACATAGTCACCCACTCCTCTACCAGACACYGCCTCCCCAATGGAAGAGTTGTCTGATGACATGGCTGCTTCTTCCTCCATTATCACCTGAAGAGTCGAAGACCAACACGCACAACACTAACGGGAACAACCTTTGTTCTCCAAGTATGATCACAGAGTGACCTGATGAACAAGAAAAACAGATTACACAAGAACAAGAAAGACACGATTACAAGAAATTCAGGTTTCTTCTTCAGGTAATATTATTTAGCTATATGAAAATGAAAGTTGAGATTATTTATGGATTCTAAACTTYTTTAAAAACATTTTATTATTCAAACCTGTCACTGTGACGTTTTGGGATTGTTTTGGTTTGATTTATTATAAAGCAATCATGACGTGCTTAATAATAAAAAAAATAAAAAAGGTAAAAACATAATTCAATCAGGTCAATATTTATGTTGACAAACAAGACAACAGTACAACTGAATAACTTTTCTTTTTCTTACATGCAGTGGTTAAAATACATAAAAGCTAAAAACAAATAGAAAAAGTTCTCTAAGTTCTGCTTGTTAACAAAAGTTCAAGTGTTTTTGTTTCTTTTTTCCCCGATGTTTGAGAAAACCACACACATCTCACACTAACATACTCCAATTATGAGCAAAACAGAAGTGAAAAATKGTCTTGAATTACATTTCTGAAAACCAATATTTTCACTTTGTTCACTAAAACAAATAAGGAGTAAACTGATAGGCTACCATCTTGACTTCACAAGCTTATCTAAGACAAAATGTGAGTTTTTTTTTTCACAATGAAAGTTTCACAATAGCAATGTCATGAATAGCAACAACTATTACAACACAATCAGSTTAATCAGTAATAATTAAAAATGAYTCAAACCCATCCTAAACCACACTTGACCCCATGTGTTGTGGAAAACATTTAGTTGTTAGAAAAAGATAACAAAACAAAATGTTCCTCACAGCTAGGGAAAATTATATATGTAGTCACAAAACAGCACATGTTAATATTTATTATTTAAGAAACTTGAACAAGATATTTTCTGGTAACTTCGACAAATGAGTAGCAGCATGTTCCATGTTGTTGACCTGTAATAAGGTTTATTATGTTGTTGCTGTAAGCCTTGTGTTTCAGGATAATAATCGCAGTTTATTTTAGCTTTCCTCACAATTACTCTACCATACAGCTTCTACTGACGGCTTGGTTTCCCTCTTCCGCGTTTCAAACATTACAGACCATGTCATTTTGCCATAATATTTGAACAAAYAGCGTCCATGACATTTTATAAACACGTTCATTAATAATTTACCACGTCTTCACGCTTTATTTCCTATGGTTGGCCATTTACCAGATAAACTTGACAGTGTGTCAAGTCGCGCAAACAAAGTCTAAAGTTTACGCAAAACTACGACCAACACTTTCATTATRATTGTTTATAATACAAGGTAAGTTTCTACTATGAACATATTATTTATATGTAATGAGTGTGACCTTTACAACATACTTTTCTTACCACCGACATGGAGGGTCTGAAAAAGGTTTTCCAATCAGGAAGTTGTTTTTATTTATTTTCTTGCTCAAGAAATCAAAACGTCACAAAATCGACCGCCCCCTTTGGGTCGGAGGAGGAACAACACACAGTCTGCAAAGAAAAACAGCTTTTTCCATTTAAATGAACCAATAG